TACTGTTGTTGTTATTGTTGTTTTATAATTGTTGTTTATAATTTTTACAATTAACCTCCCTGTGGTTCGACCCCGGTCTTGCCGGGTTATTTATTACTTCGACACTCCTGCACTTGGGAGAAGACATCAATCTTTTAGTCGTGTCACTAGGATATAAAAAAATAAGAGAAGAGAAGGGGGGCAGCCAGTCAAGAGGAGAAAAACACCCCCTTCCTCTGCGATTCTGGTTTGGATTGCACCAACATCTCTTGACGTTGTTCAACAAACATGCAAGACTAAACTCAAGATTATGCATTCTTCCTTCTTTTCATTAGTTGTTCAACAAACATGCAAGACTAAACACTTTTTCTTGGTTGTGAGGACATAGAAACCTTTGAATTTCAAGAATTGTGAGATTTATTTTACCTTTTCTTTTCAGTTTATATGATGAATATGTTTGTTCTCCTATACTTATTTTTTCTATAATTGTTTATTTTAATTGTTAAAGTGGACTCTAGTTATTATTGTAGACAATATATTGCTAAGTTTGATATCAAAACTAGAGTTATGGTATATAAACTTGTAAAGCAACTGAGTTTAATAATTATGCAGATCTATGTTATTAATCTGAGAGATAACATTCAATCAAATCAAACATAGACTGTGGACATTTATGTTTTCTTGATTAATCAACTTATCTAGTTATTAAAGTTGCCATTGAATTAAATTATTAGTGCAGACACTATGGTTGTTTGATGGTTAGGGTCAGTTATACAGCGGATCCATTAACTAACTAATGTTAAGAAGAGATAAATATTCAAAATATAAATTGATGTTTCATTTCCATGATCAATTCTGATTTCTATAGGAGGATGTGTGCTTGAGACCAATGTTTGTTGTCTTGATAAGTTTTTGATTTTATTTCATTTAATTTTGCTTGATAGTTGTCTAATTTCTTTTGCTTTAGCCTAGATAACATCCAAAACCCCTCCAAGTTGCATATCATCTAGCATAAAAATCTAACTTGAACCTTCCTCGTGGGATCAACCCCTTGCTAGCTCTATATTATCTTGTGTTGTGTTTTAAGCTGGGGTAATTAATTTATACTACCGTGACATCGCAACACATTGTGACATCGCAACACATTTTGACATCAAGACCACTTGAATTATTGCATATGGATCTAATGGGTCCAACTTAAACTAAGAGTGTTGGTGGAAAGAAGTATATCATGATCATTGCATTATTCAAGATATACCTGGGTTATATTGTTAAAAGGTAAATCTGAATCTTTTAATCTTGTAGGGAAATTGATCAGAAAATTACAAATAGAAAAAAAAAATCTTTTTATCTCTAGAATCTATAGTAATAATAAGAAAGAATTTGAAAGCACTAATTTTTCATCTTTTTATGATGAACAGGGTATACATCAAGAATTTTCTACTCCAATCACTCCTAAAAAAAATAGTGTAGTTGAGAGAAAAAATAGACTTGTACAAGAAATGGCTTAGACAATGCTCCATTGCACTTCTAAGGGAAAGTTGTCAACATAATTGTCCAGATTTTAAATTGCATTGTATTTAGACTAGGTGCAAAACTCACCCTTTATGAGTTGTGGAACAGCAAGAAGCTCGCAATCAACTATTTATAGTATTTAAAATTTCTTGTTATATCTTGAGAGATCGAGAAAACTTATATAAGTTTGATAGCAAGAGTGATGAAGGAATTTTTCTTGGATATTTCATCGCATAGTAAAGCCTATAGAGTCTACAATCTATGAACTCAAATTATCATGAAAACAATCAATGTTGTCATTGATGACAATCTAAAGGAATATGTCAGTAATAACCTTGATAACATGTTTGAAACAAAAAAAAGAAACCTTATTTGAACAGTCATGCATAGGTTTAAACAGTCCCAAGAAAAAGAACTTTTTCATGAATAAAGCACAATCATCCTAAGGAAAACATCATTGGAAAATTAGATGAACATATGAGGTTGAAAAAAAAATTATTAATCAAATCTCATATGTGTGTTACTAATCACCAGTTGAACCTAAAAAGGTTAACAAAGCTGTATAAGATGAAAGTTGGATCAATGCCATGCATGGGTAACTAAATTAGTTCAATAGAAATGATGTATTGGAGTTAGTTTCATGTCCTGATAGTCACAATATAATTGGACTGAAATGAATATTCAAGAACAAATCACATTAGCATGGAACAATTATTAGAAACTAAGTAAGACTAGTGGCACAAGGATACTCACAAGTTGAAGGAATCAATTTTGATGAAATATTTATACTAGTAGCTAACTTGAGTCTATTCACATACTACTTGCATTTGCTTGTCACCAAAACTTCAAACTATATACCAAATATATGAAATCCAGAATAAGACCACAATTTAGATATCACCAAATTATAATATGTATATTCATCATGAAAGAGTAAATACATTATTGTGAAGAGATTCAAATAAAAAAAAGATAGAAGGGTTTGTATTTTATTTAAAAGAAAAGACTTGACAAAATGTGGAAAAGGTTAGGTAAGAGGAGTCAATTTATAAATGCATGAAACTTAGGGGAGCATTGTATGTCAAGAGGAAAAAATGAAAATATATAATAATAATAATAATAATAATCTCTCATTTTTCTTCTTCCATGACTAGTTGCATGCATAAAAAGGGAAAAAAAGGATTTGAAAAATAGTGAGAAAACCTTGTCTAAACACATTCTGGAAAGTAGGGAAAATCAATACTTTAAGAAACTAGAAAGAGATTTGTACGATAAAAGAAAATAATAATAATAATAATAATAATCTCTCATTTTTTTGTCTTCCATGACCGATTGCATGCATAAAGAGGAAAAGAAGGGAGCTGAAAAATGGTGAGAAAATCTTGTCTAAACACATTCTATAAAGTAGAAAAGATCAATACTTTAAGAAACTAAGAAGAGATTTTATGGAAGAAGTTGAACAACCTCACGTGTTCTTCCTTGTGCAATTGATGAACAGATTATATATGTGCACAAAATGAGTAACTTTAGTTATGCTAATTATTTATTTTGAATTAGTTTCTTCTTAATAATTGGAGATGTATATCCTAACATTTAAAATGATCATATAAAATGGTTTGGGTGTACGTGGAACTTGAAATATTTATTTTGTTAACTAATTTTTTAGAATATTTATTTTGTTAACTAAACATAGAAATTGAGTTGAATAAATTTTTTGGAATGCAATTTTAACATGAACTAAGTATTGATTGTGAAATTGAATCTTAATTGGTATATAAAGAGATGCCGATATATTCCAACGCAGGTTTCATAACCCAATTCTGGGTTATTCTTCAAAAAATATTTTTTTTTAAATAAAAAATCAAAAATAAAATAAAGGCTGACAATGTTAAGAAAAAAGATAAAGGAGGACTACAAAAATAGAAAAAAAAATCAAGCTGTAATTTTTTAAGGAAATTCAAGGTCTAATTATGCCCCATTATGCCCAAAAATGAAGAAAAATGCAAATTCAATGTCAAATTGAATGATTATTGGATGAATTTTGCATAAAAAGTAAGTCCAATAACATAATTAAATTTTTAATAAGCTAATTTGATTTAATCATAGGCCAAATTAAATTTTAATTATGTTTAAAAATTAATTTGGGTCCAATTGAAGGATTTAATTAAGCGCATGGATTTAATTATATTTTAAATTAGTCAAATTAATTTTATTTTGGGTTTAATTGGTAAAAATTAGGAGCCTAATTTTGGTTTAATTGAAAAGATTGAAATTTTAAGAGACCAAATTTAATTTTTACCAAGTTAATTGATTGAAATTAGGGGCTTATTAAATAAAAAAGTTTAGGGTCAATTAGGGTTCAATTGAAATCAGTTGAAAGAGGAAGGACTAAAATGAACTTTGGCAAAAAAGGAATCGACACTATTTATTATCTTCATTTTTTCTCTAAAAAACCTGATCCAGTTACTTGCTTTGCAGCAGCAGCATTTAATATACCTAACATCTATCAAATTTGACAAACCTTGTATGAAAATGATCATCTGCACTTTATCTACAACTTTATGTGATCAGTTCAGGCTAAATAACAATACATTATCTCTAATGACAGCCTAGATAGGCCAACTCTGTAACTCATGATACCTAGTTTGAGCCAATGGTTGGGATCATTCCCAACTGAATCAAAATCTGAAATTTTTCTCTAGTATAGCCAAGATTGTCTTCTTCCATTGCATATAAATAGAGGTGGATTTCATGGCTTGAGGGAGAAGAAAATCGGGTTCAAAATCAGCCAAAAAACCAGTTTTTCTACAGGTTTCTACAAATTTTCTTCTTTCTTTCTCTCTCCACCATGGCCTTCAGCCACCACCACTACTACTGCTGGCTTAACAACCATCCTCTCCACCACACTCCTCCCGTTTCCTTCATAACAGCAGCAGCCCATCAACACCAACATTTTCATTTTCTTCCCTGTTCAACACCGGCAGCAGCAATATCAACACCGTCCTCCACCTCCACAACCGACTTTAACACCATCATTTCCATCAACCTAGCTCCTCACCGACAATAGAGTAACCACCGTGACCTTTTCTCTCCTCTCCTTCCAGCCTTTCTCTCTCCTATGTAACTTTTTCTTCTCCCAGCCGTGACTTGCAACCAGCTCCAACCGCCAGCCACCAATGATGACCACCACCACCACACCAGGTTGTCCGCTCTCTCTCTCTCTTCCTTTCTTTTTCTTCTTCTTCTTCTTCCTTCCTCCCCTCCCTACTGTTCACTACATGAACAGTAGGTGTAAAACATAATTCACGTCCTACTGTTCATGCAAGACATAAATTGTGTGTGTGTGTGTGTGTTGTATACGGCCAAATCCTGAAATTTTTCCAAGCATATTTTTCATTAAAAAACAAAAATTGTATCTTTTTCATGTAAAAAAAAATCCAAAAATGGATATCATATCCAGTTTATGATTATCCATTAGGATTTGGACAACATGTCAAAAATCTTTTTCTAATTTTTTTAATCCAGATGTAAATTTTAATATTTGTGGGGTGTAAAATTACATGATAAAGTACACCCTCAGGTATTAAAGATACAATATATAAATAAATGTGATGCTAAAATTCAAATTTTAGAACAGTTAGGATTTAACCCAATAAGGTAGAGACTCTCTCACAAAGACAAATCTGCATTGAGCCTTAAAAAAGACCAACAAATACCCAACTCAGAAAAAACAATCAAACAACAATGCAGCTTACCTTAGATAGGATGCACTGCAGGTGATATGTCTTTCCCTTGCACAACCAATCCCTTACACAGACTCTCGCAAACCA